AGCAACAATGATCTGAATTGCATCTTCAATAACACGATATAGCTAGACTCGAACCTCTTGAAGTAGCAACAATGATCTGAATTGCATCTTCCATAGATATTGCTCTGTATGAAGTTGTCGAACTTCTTATACCACTGTCTCGGAGCCTATTTCAAACCGTACAAGCTCTTTTTGAGCTTACACACCATCTCTTCCTTTCCTTCTTTAATGAAGCCAGCAGGTTATTTCATGTAGATTTTTTCATTCAAGTCACCATGAAGAAAGACAGTATTCACATCTAACTGCTCAAGGTAGAGATCTTTTACAGCTACTAAGCTCAACACCATTCTGATGGTTGTAAGCTTTATAACGGGGGAAAATATCTTCGTATAATTCACTCCTTCCTGCTGTTAGAACCCCTTCATGACTAATCTGGCCTTGTACCTCTTGCTTCCATCACTCTCTTGCTTGACTCGGTAGACCCAATTGTTATGTAAGGCTTTTTTCTGTGTAGGTAGCTAGGCTAACTTCCATGTCTCATTAGTGTGTAGAGAATCCATCTCTTCTTGCATCGCATACTCCCACTACTGAGATTCACTTATTTGCATAGCCTCCTCATAGCACTCTGGTTCTTCGCTATCTGTTAAAAGCAAATAATCTAGTGACGAAAGATATCTGGAATTTGATTTGGGTACCCTAGATGATCTCCTACGCTCCACGTCCTGGGTAGTCGTCTCTGCACCTGGAGTCTCCTCCATTCTTTGGTTAGAACTGACGTTGTCTTCCCCATCTGGAAGTTCCTCTAAATCCATGTACTCGGATCCACCTGCATCCTTAGTGCTGCTCCCACTGCTTTGTCTATCATTGGAATTTTTCCTATCCTTGTACATTACCTCCTCATTGAACATCACATCCCTGCTCCTGATGATCTTCCTATTCTTCTCATCCTAAAGACGACACCCGAACTCTTCAGTGTCGTATCCAATGAATGTACACTTCTGTGACTTAGCTTCTAGCTTGTCCCTGACATGGTCACTGATATGAACATATGCTACACAACTAAATACTCGCAAGTATGAGAGATTGATCTTCTTGCCACTCTAAACCTCCTATGGAATCTCGTAATCCAATAGAACTGATAGCCCATGATTAATCAAGTAAGCTGCTGTATGCACCGCATCCATCCAAAATGTTTTAGACAGACCTGCATGTAGACGCATGCTCCTCGTACGCTCCGTCAATGTCCTGTTCATTCTCTCTGTGACGCTGTTCTGTTTGTGGCGTCCCTGGAGTAGTCCTCTCCAAACGAATCCCGCTTAGAGTACATATCCTCTTGAACTCCTCCAGCTCATATTTTCCACCATTATCTGATCTCAGACACTTCACCTTTAGATCTGTTTCGTTCTTCACCATGGCCTTCTATTTCTTGAAGATCCCGAACACCTCTGACTTGTGCTTCATGAAGTATACCCACACTTTCCTCGAGTGATCGTCGATAAAGGTGACATAATACGTTGAACCGCCAAGAGAAGACACACTACCTGGACCCCATACATCTGTATGAACTAACTCTAGCTTTTGAGCTTTAGGTGGTCTTCCACCCTTCTGGAAACTAACTTTATTATGCTTTCCAAAGATGCAGTCCTCGCAAACATCGACTTCTACGAAATCGATGTCGGTTAGCTTCCCATGTGAATGTAGAATCTTCATCCCCTTTTTGCTCATGTGTCCTAATCTATTATGCCATAAATCTGTATTTTCTTTGCCAGCTATAATTACGTGGGTGTCACTCATATGTGAGGTGAGGTAAAAAGTTCACGTTTTGTTGCCACAGGCAACAACCATCATACCGTTGGAGATCCTCCACGAATCATCGGTGAATGTCGAAGCATAGCCTTCTACTCTAAGTTGTCCTACCGAAATAAAATTTTTCTTCAGCTTCGGTACGTGTCTCACATTTTTCAAATTCCACTTGGAGCCCTTCATCTGTATTTACACGTTACCTCTTCCAATAATATTGTAAGGCTTGTTGTCCCTCAAATATACTTTTCTAAAGTCTCTTGCTATATAATTCTGGAGAAGCTTCCTGTTAGCAGTCTTCTACTTACAAGGAGGCTATTAATGCAATGATGCTGCAGATTGGACTGTTGTGATGATTGAAGAAATGAAGTCTCTTTACAAGAACTAGACATGGGAGTTAGTGAAACCACCAAGAGGACAGAAGATCGTTGGCTGTAAATGGGTATTCAAGAAGAAAGAAAGAACTCTGGATATAGATTCTGTAAGATATAAGGTACGCTTAGTAGCTAAAGGATACAGTCAGACCGAAAGTGTGGATTTCAATGAAGTATTCTCTCCAATTATAAAACACACCTCAATCCGCGTGTTGCTTGTTATGGTTGCTCATTTAATTTGGAGTTTAAGCAACTTGATGTGAAGACTACTTTTCTACTGAGCTTGAAGAGCATATCTTTATGCATCAGCCAGAGGGTTTCGTTGTTGAAGGTAAAGAAGACCATGTGTGTAGGTTGAAGAAATCTCTTTATGGCTTGAAACAGTGTCCGAGACAGTGATATTTGAGATTTGATACTTTCATATTTGAGCATGGTTACTCTAGGAGTAAATATGATAGTTGTGTTTATCATAAAAAGTTAAATGATGGTTCTTTCATATATTTACTTTTGTATGTTAATGATATGTTGATTGCAACTAAAGATATATCAGAAATCAATGAGTTAAAATCTCAACTCAAATATGAGTTTGAGATGAAGGACTTGGGAGCAGCGAAGAAGATTTTAGGGATAGAGATTCACAGGAATAGGCGAGAAGAAAGTTTATTCCTATCTCAGGAGAAATACATTAAGAATGTATTAGAAAGATTTATCATGCTTGATGTCAAGTCTGTGAAGACTTCACTTGCTATTTATTTTCGTCTTTCAGTAGATTTGTTACCTCAGACTGAAGAGAAGGAGCATTACATGATTTGTGTTCCTTATGCGAGTGTAGTAGGAACCATTATGTATGTTATGGTCTACACCCGCCCAGATATTTCATATGCAGTCAGTGTTGTGAGTCGGTATATGGATAAGCTTGGAAAGGTCCATTGGCAGGCTGTGAAATGGGTATTTTAGATATTTAAGAGGATCAACTAATATTAGTTTATATTTTGGCAGGAACACAAACTCAGATTGTAGAATACTTGACTATTCTGATTCAGATTATGCAGACGATTTGGATAAGAGACGATCCCTGACAGGTTATATATTCACTCTGGTAGTGTCATTAGTTGGAAGGTGACTCTACAGTCGACAGTTGCTTTGTCTACCATAGAGAACTCTTTCCGGTAGTGTCATTAGTTGGAAGGTGACTCTACAGTCGACAGTTGCTTTGTCTACCATAGAGATAGAGTACATAGCAGTGACAGAAGTAGTGAAAGAAACCATTTGGTTAAGAGGTTTGGTTAAAGATCTCGACTTACACCAATGTATTACTACGGTATTTTGTGACAACCAGAGTGTTATACATTTGACGAAGTATTAGATGTATCATGAAAGAACCAAACATATAGATGTTACGTATCATTTTATCAGAGAAATTAAAGTCATCAAGATTGAAAAAATTAGTACTGCAGATAATCTAGCAGATATGATGACAAAGTTCGTACCTTCACGCAAGTTCGAGCATTGTCTCGAATTGCTTAGAGTTCAACAAAACGGAGGTTAAGCGCGTAAGGGAATTCTAGCGAGACAACAAGAGTGAAGAGAAGAGATCTTCATATTCAAAGTCAATGTGGATATTTGTTACTTTTTGACTTTAAATTCAAAACTCATCAACCCTATTACTGTTCCACCAACCCAAGATATTGTCCCATCAATCCAAAATACTGTTCCACCAACTCTTTTGAAGGCTATAAATAGAGAAGAGTGATGAAGAGTTAGAGCATCGAACAAAGATCCAGAACAGAAAGAAAAAGAAAAAGAGAGTTGAAGAGAAAAAGAAAAGGTGAGTTTTCTTTGAGTGTTCTCTTCTTTGTGTGAGTTTGGTGAGATATTAGAGTGAACTCCCTTTGTAATCTTATCTTTTGTGATTAGTGAAGTTATCTGTTGTTCTCGTCCCTGGACGTAAATCATACTAACCGAAACACGGTAAATCCTTGTGTGTTGTTCTCTTTGTCTTCACTGTGTTTATTCAGTATTGTTATTATCCACTTTTGTATAGATATTTTCTGTGTCTATGAAGCCCCCCGCCGTAACAATTCACTTGTTTTCTTCCAACGGGTACTGAAACGGTGGTCATCTCAAAGCTATCTATATACAAGCGAACGGTTTTGTTAGTCGCTTATATGGAGCGAATATGCTACACGCATGCGGTCGGTACTGACCAAATCTGGACCCTGTGGTGTGTATTTGTAATATCTGCTTACTAAAAACTTCACTTCATATACTCGAAAGAAATCCAAAAGATACAAACAGAAAAACAAAATGAAATCATGACCCTGCTTTTTCTCTCTAGTGAATCTGGACCCATTAAAATATGAACATCCTCCAAACATGCTATAATTTTAGCCGAGAGAAGGGGATCATGTTATAAGAGCAATCTAGCTTTAGTTTCTATCAGCCATAAAATCTAATATGGGTTTTTTTTAAAAAGCAAAAACAAAAATATGGCTGCAATAAAGTCAGGTTTCTCCTCGTGAAGACTGAAGAGGGCGCTTAACCCGCACGAACATCACAGACTAAGAAATTTCCACGGTGACTCTTGGTGTATTAAATTACTGGGCCCAATAACGTCTGACCTAATTGTTGGGCTTCAAAATGAGGCCACGTATGGGCTAAGAAACAACCCGCAAACCCGTCCTGATATTTAGCAACGGGACGGCAGGGATCAGTCCCATCATCGACATCTCAAGAAGGGAGCAGGACTGAGACCGTGTAGCCAAAATAAAAATGGCGTCAGCTCTGATGAAGGTTAGGGCATCGCTGGCGATGGCACGCGCCTCCTCGTC